GTCTTTAAAACTTTGATTGCATGTCAAAGTTTAATTGGTAACATTTTTTTCTTACTATGACATAAAATAATCATGTGTCTTATAATCAATGGTCTTAGATTCAGTGAATTACAGTATTATTTCCATTTTAAATATGAAGCATGACAGATTAAATGAATCGCCTAAGGATACACAATGACTGAGCTAGGATTTAGATCCCCGTTAGTCTGTCTCATGCCTTATTGTCTTTCTCAGAGCTTCTTAGACAGTGGGGAGTATAGAAAATAGAGGGAGAAAGCATTTTCCAGGGAAGCATGGGTTAAACAACTTAGAAACAGTAATTCAGGCTGGGCACAGTGGCTCACGCCTGTAATCCCAGCACTTTGGGAAGCTGAGGCAGGTGGATCACCTGAGGTCAGGAGTTCAAGACCAGCCTGGCCAACATGGTGAAACCCCCTCTCTACTAAAAATACAAAAATTAGCCAGGTGTGGTGGCGGGCACCTGTAATTCCAGCTACTCAGGAGGCTGAGGCAGGAGAATCACTTGAACCCAGGAGGCGGAGGTTGCAGTGAGCCAAGATCACATTCCAGCGTGGGCAACAGAGCAAGACTCTGTCTCAAAATAATAATAATAATAATAATAATAATAATAATTATTCAACTTTGTTGTACCAGCTAAGAGTTTTTCTAAATTTTTTTTTTTTTTCCAGTCAGGAGGTAATTTTCTAAAAGTTGTTTGTGTAAAGCTTCAAAATCTGACCCGAGCCTACTTTTTGTTACCTATGTTTTTTCGTTATTTTCCCCAGATTTCGGGTTCACAATCTGAATGTGCTTTGCCCATTCACATCTCACAGTTATCTGATTTTCTCTGCCTGCAGTGACTTCTCTCTTGAAAGAAAGTATACGTTCTCCTTCAAGGCCTGGTTCAAATGTCACCCCCACAGCAGTAGGAATTAGCAGTTCAATTCTGCCAGCAACTTACACTTACTTATTGTGTTGTATTGTAATAATTGGTATCTGCCTACCCACACAGACTGTTGAGCTTCCAAGAGTATCTTACTCGTCTTTAAATCTTTAAATCATCAGACCCTAACACACAATAGGAAATCCTTAAATAACTGTGCATAAATAGATTTCAAAGTCCTTACTTCCTTTTATGTTCTTTTCTGGCTTTAATTGAATTTCATGTTCTAATCTCAATTTTAGAAAGTAGGCTTTATAAAATTATTAATATTATTTTCACATAATAGAATGACATTTTGAAAATAATTACTGCCTTAACTATACTTTTTCCAAATGTTATCAATTTCCAATATGGTGAATCTCAAAATGTCCGTTATTAGTTTGATTACAGGTTAAAAACATCGTTTCTGCGACAAATGGCCAATATCTGTAGCCTTAAGGATAGTTCCAATCTGGATAAATTTTAATTTTTTAAATTGATAAAGTTAACTTCGAATGCCTTAATTTTATTGAAATCAATTTTTTTTTTTTTAATCACTAAGCATGTTAAATGCCAATGCTAAATGATATTTGGTGTTCTGGAGAAAAGTAACTTGAAAGCTTCAGAAATTAAAGCAAGAAAGCAGCAGCTCTGGGTCTCTTAGCCTTTTCTTTCTTTGTGAGAAAGATCCTGATCTTTATGATACCACTTGTAATGAGACACTCCTTGCTTGTCTAAAGATAAATTTTAATGGTCATTTTCAGCACAGACTAAAGTGTAACTTGCTGTATCTTAGGCAAACAAAATGTTCTGTGGACCATACTGTAAACTTCATGATCTGATATTTTAATGGTTGGTAGTAGGAAACACACAGTTTTAGCAGGATGATTCAGTCTAAATTTAGGTGCAGTGTGCCAGAGATAATCTCTTCAAAGGAAAACATAAGTTGGGGTTTATATGGGCCATCAGATGTTTTCTTTAGTTGTTACATTTTATTTTTCAGTTTGTTTTTGTTTGCTTGCTTTTAAAAGTATTTTTCTATCACAGAAAAATCATGCATAAAATTCTGAGATTGTAGATTGACAAACCAGAATGCTTATACTTAAGATAATAGAATAAAGAGGAAGACAGCTATTCATCCAGGTAATCTTGGTGTTGGAGATAGCTGAAGTAGATAATTCTGTCTCTTTAGTTTCTTTGTGTGTGTGTGTGTGTGTGTGTGTGTGTGTGTGTGTGTGTGTGTTTCTTGCTTGATTTTTCTGAGCGCTTGGCAACATTTATCTCACATTAGTTGTATTAAAATAGCTATCAAAATTATGCTAGACAATTGAAAATAACCGAAGTTTTGTTTTGGTTTGTCTTTGGTAAATTTGGAAAGGAAAATATGTGACAACAAATATTTATATATAGTGTAAATATTAAAAAGGTGGCACATTATATTAAGATCTAGATTTACATTTAGTGATTTGATTTTTAAAAATTTCCTTCCTGAGAAAAGAGAACTTGTTTTAGAGTATGAAATTTTATGGAGTTTTTTCTGGATCACATTAATTTATTTTAATCAGGTTATAATAATAGTAGTAATTTATTATTACTACTATTTTTATTTTGCTGACATACAAAAAAGTCATTCTCTTCTTGCTTTTTTTGGTTGTCTACTTAGCAATCCGTTGTATTAGATTCTGTTAAAATAACTGTACAGTTCCTGTCTTTTGACTGGACCCCAGCGATATGATATAGACACATATGGATTAATTTCAGATACAAGTCTTGTAAAAAACATCTTTGCATTATGAAATGTGTTAAGCCATCATCAGCTAGCATTCATTAGCAAATTAAGAATTTCTTCCGTGGAAAGCTCAGTATTCTCTAAAATGCTGTGTTTATAATGCCTTTGGGTTAGTGACAACTTCAAATCTTATTTTGCTATGGTTTTGTTTTATTTTGTTTTGTTTTGTTTTGACACGGGTTCATCAGATTAGAACTATTGTTTTCCATCAGCTCAACAACTGATTAGCAAGATGTGGGTAGTAGTATTGACTGGAGGCAAAAAAAGTTGTTTGTATTTTAGACACGTTTTCTGGGGAGAAAAGACTGGTTGTTTTGAGATACTGGTATGGTGTTTCCATTCTCTATAAAAACATATTGGTAACCCATATAGATGCATAATCCCAGACACTGAAGTTTGATTAAGGTGTGTTTCTGTCTAGGCTTTTAATTAAAAGACAAAAGGCAAGTAACAACACCCCCCTCCCCCCAAAAAAGGGGAAAGGAGAAAGAAAACAGAAAAGAAAAAGAAGAAAACCTTAAAGGATTAATGCCTAGTTATTTACAACTTTTTTAAAAAATAGAAATGTTGCTAACTTTTAACTTGGTTTAATAGATTTAAAGAGAAATGCTATAAATGTGGAATTTTGGCCTTAATTTTAAACATTTACTAAAGGTTTTAATAAGATTTTACCATGTGGCCATTATAAAAGAATCCTACAAAATTGCTATTTGTAGAAAAATAACTTGTGTGTTTCTACAGTTCTCGTTTTACTCATCCTTAGTTATTTATATAGCTTAATTTTGTTTTTTAGAACTAGAATTAGTTTTTAATAATGGGGAAAATGAAGAACTAATTATTTGTAGTTTACTTAGAGACAGGTTATTAAAAAAATCTTTGAAATACAAAAAAACCTGGTCAGGCTGCACATACAGTTAACACAAATTTAGTAATTGATATCCTGCTTTCCTTAACCAGTTTCCCATCAATAAGATAGTGCAACATTTTAACTTTTCCTTCCTGTTCTACTTTAGAATTTATGACATAAGAAACAACAACACTTTCAATATTTATGCATATTTATCTTACATTTGTATCTTTTGTCTGCATTTTGGCTAAATAATGAGTAACTAGATTGAGAAAAGAGATGTGTTCTTCTACTTTAAATATCTTTGTGTCTTCCTTATCTCTACCCTGAAAAGCTCAATATCCTTTTGGTTCTGCAGTATTCTTCCTCCCAGACTCCTTAGCCTGACCTTAATTAAATGTCAAGTATAACTTGCTATTGACTATTAATAAAGAACTGGAGATTAAATAATATTTTATTATATCCCCATAATTAACCTAAACATCTCATTCTGCCCCCCACAAACCCCCACCCACCCCATTCATTTGACATGTTTGAGCTTAAATGCCTCCAAACTCTCTTTTAACCCCTTTGGTCATGTATATTTAGCTAATGTACAGTAAAATGTCTAAATGTGTAGAGTGACTCTTTGCCTCGGTTTACCTGGGACTGAGGAGTTTCCTAGTTACGGAACTTTCTGTTTAAAACTAGGTCTCCACGTATGCTGATGCACTATGTATTATAGTAGTTGAGTAGTTGAATAGGAAGTCATTTCCAAAGTCTTGTCTTTTATCCCTTAAACTTTTTTTTTTAAATTATTAAATTAGATAGAGTCTCGCTCTGTCACCCAGGCTGGAATGCAGTGACATGATCTTGGCTCACTGCAACCTCTGTCTCCCGGGTTCAAGCAATTCTCATGCCTCAGCCTCCTGAGTAGCTGGGACTACAGACGTGTGCCACCACATCTGGCCAATTTTTGTATTCTTAGTAGAGATGGGGTTTCACCATGTTGGCCAGGCTGGTCTTGAACTCCTGACCTTGAGTGATCTGCCCACCTAGGCCTCCCAAAGTGCTGGGATTACAGGTGTGAGCCACCGCGCCTGGCCTCCCTTAAACTTTTCTTTCTCAGCTAGAAGTAGGAGTGATATTCAGATGTAAAGGCTAATTTAAGGTTGAGATGATGTCCCCGGAAAGAAAACCTGAAGCAGAAGGAACTGCCAAAGCAGGGAACGTATCATTTAGGAGTTAGGTGAAGTATAAGCCATCAGTGGCTCTTGTCCTCTTGAATATTAATGTATTAATATTTACCATGTTTCTCATGAATGGGAAATATGAACCTGGACGGTATAGTGAAACATAGAAAACTCTACTTTTTGATTTCAAGGAACTTATATAGGGTCAAGATAGCTGATGTGTAAAATTTTAACTATTGTTTACGACACTGTTGTGTTTAACTGTTTTAGGCAATGATTCATGTGAATACCTTCTCTCAAGTGGCAGATTTCTTGGAGAGAAAGTTTGGCAACCTCACAGCTGTATGATGCATAAATACAAAATCAGGTAACATTTCTTCATTTTGTTGTTTTACTTTTTAGGATGGGTGGAGAGGGGTTGATGAAGCAGTACGTTTCTTCTCTATGCTGGGGTAGAGACTTGCTGACTGTGTGTAGGGCTGATTGCAAATGAAGATTTCCCTGCCCCCTAAAGTTTTAGGGAAAGGCTTTGGCCAATCTGCTTTATCTCAGGTGAGAGATAACTAGGCCTAAGGCAATCATCCTTGAGCAAAAGACTCTTGCTCTGGCACCTGGGTACCTATCTTAATGGAGTTTTTCTAAGGATTAAGAGATAATAGATATAAAGCACCTAATACAGTTAGAGTACATCTTAAACATGTAATGAATTGAGCTATTACAGAGAGTTAACTGATCATAGGTACGTGGAGTGGTAAGTTAAACAAACCTGGCCACCGGCTTATAAAGCAATATAATGGTATGTGTAGCAATCCAGTACAACTTTCTTCAAAAACCGTGTGCTTTGAAATGCCAATATGGCTGATTTTACTTATTTTAATTAATTTTTCTTTGTTGCTTTCAGTGAAGCAAAGAACTGCCTTGTAGATAAACATATTGCATTTATTGGAGATTCCAGAATTCGTCAATTGTTTTATTCTTTTGTAAAAATAATTAATCCCCAATTCAAAGAAGAAGGAAATAAGGTAAAACTTGTCTATTCCCTTCTGTAGAGTTGTTTTAGAAGTTAACCAACTGAATAGTTACAGGAGGAATGTGTCTCTCCAGATTGAGTAGGAGCTGAAAAAATTTTACTTTGATTTTCAGAAAGGTTGGGGAAAAAGAGGGATGACTTGCTTTAATGAGGAAGATGAGAAAAAGAAGTTGTGGCTAAGACATTGGCAGGCTTTTTATTATAATAACCTAAACTTTTAGTTTTCAGAAGTAATACATTTTTACCATGGAATAGCTTTTAAATTTCCTTAGAAAGAAGACAAAGAGAAAATATACCCCTTATTCTCCTGTTAGTATTTTTCCATACTTCTTTTTGCTCATCTCTTTTTTAAAAAAAAATACTAGTAATCTTTTAATATGTGCAATTTTATATCTTCCGTTTTTTCTTCACCACTTATTCATCATTATATAATCAACTTAAGTATCTTCTTAATGGCAGCATATTATTGAGTGGATATAATGTAATTTTACATAATTTCCCACTTTTTAAAGCTTTTTGTAGTTTTCTATTTTTTTGCAGTTAAAAAAGACATTTTAAATTACTTCTTTATGTGAAAACTTTGCTTTTTAAATTATTTCCTTAGGGTGGAATCTCTACAATTCAAATATTAGGTTAAATAACATAAACATTTAAAAATTATTAATTATGCTGCAAAATTCTTTCAGTTTATACTAATTAGCAATATATTTTGGGGCCTAATTTTCTGCAAACTTTCTGGCATTGGATGATCATACTATAAATTAAAACAGCAATGCAATAGTTTTCTGTTATTGATTTTGTTAGAAAATTTCTCATTTAAAAAATATAACTTTAAAAACTAACAAGGATTAATTTCTTTCTATAAATTAATTAGTTCATTATTTTTTGGTGAATTATCTCGTATCCTCTGTTTATACCTTTATAAGTGATCTCAGATTCTAATCATGGTCTTCAAATACCATGTGATTGCGAGAGGGGAATAGCAAAGGGGGAAAGTAGAATACAAGAAAGTAGAGTACAAGAGTAGAGGGGAGTAGCTCATGAATTTATGAAAATCTGCCTGTGGTAAAGAGTTGAAAACTTAGAGGCTTCATAGCTAAGTAGTTTTTAACATAGTGATGATGATACCAGGTCCTAAATCTTTAGCAGCTATTCCATGTGAGAATGAGAATAATGGAAACAAACGATACAGTCAACTTTTCATTTTATTTGCTATCTGTATTTTCCATTTGCATTTATACATACGAAATTATAGAGAAGACTCAAAACTATTTAACATGAAATTATTACAATTTAAAGTGAAAATGTTTAATAAACTTTTATTTTTAATAATTAAAAAAATTATTTTTAATAGAGATGAGGTCTCACTATGTTGCCCAAGCTGTTCTTAAACTTCTGAGCTTAAGCAGTTCTTCCACCTTGACCTCCCAAAGTGCTGGAATTACAGGCATGAGCCACTGTGCCTGCCCAACCTTTAGTAAACTTTTGAAAAGTAGAGAGATTTCTGATTACTATGAAGGTTTTAATATTTCTTGGTTTAAACTTGCATGACTTTCTAAAAATTTGAATAATCCATTTGACAACAGGTAGTTTTAAAAAGCTATAATGGTTTAGTCTGCAACCAAAAGTAGATACAATATGGTACATTGTTCTTGAGCCCCAGTTACAACACTTAGGTTTCCAGTTTTTAGAGTCTAAGATGCCCAGTTATCCCAAGATTATCAAACGAGATATCAGACAAGATTAATTTATATGCATTTAAAAAGAAACAAAGATTGTGTGTCCCGGTCTTAAAGAGACAGTTTTCAAGAAAATATTTAATTCAAGCTGCTAGTGGAGCATTTGCCAAATTATATGTTACCTTGTCTCTGCACACCTTGAGGACAGAAATTACATACCATCATTATTATTTTTAAATATATTTCTTGTGCCTAGCATAATCTGGCATATTATAAAAGCTTATTAATTTTATTTAAAGCCTGCTATGGGTATGTCTGGGTAGAATAGAAATATTGAAGATAATTCTTTGTTTGAATTTGGTTTATTTTCTGTATCGAGGCAAATTTTTTAAAAAAGAGACCTCAGAGGTGAATTTTTTCAAATTATGCTTTGTGGGAAACTAGTTCTGTGAGAAGCTTTGGGCAAATGAATTTGGGCAGAGCTAGATATCGTATCTCCCTCTTAGATAGTTTTAATTTAGGCTGGGATATTAAAAACTTGAGAAGTCTTATAATAAAGAAATCCATTTTGTGTTGCTTCCAGCCATAGGGCCGACTGGATACTCTGGGGACTCCTTCTGCATCATACCAACTGGAGCCTAGGTTTAAAAAAATATTGTCGATGGGCTGAGTGTGGTGGCTCATGCCTGTAATCCCAACACTTTGGGAGGCTGAAGCAGTCGGATCACGAGGTCGAGATGGAGACCATCCTGGCCAACATAGTGAAATCCCGTCTCTCCTAAAAATACAAAAATTAGGCCGACTGTGGTGGCTCATGCCTGTAATCCCAGCACTTTGGGATGCCGAGGCGGGCGGATCAACTGAGGTCAGGAGATCGAGGCCATCCTGGCCAACGTGGTGATACCCCATGTCTACTAAAATGCAAAAAATTAGCTGAGTGTGGTGGCATGTGCCTGCAGTCCCAGCTACTCGGGAGGCTGAGGCAGGAAAGTCACTTGAACCCAGGAGGTGGAGGTTGCAGTGAGCTGAGATCAAGCCACTGCACTCCAGCCTGGTGACAGAGTGAGACTCTGTCTCAAAAAGAAAAAAAAAAAGAATAGTAGCATTAAAGTTCTGAAAGTAAGTTTTAACCCAGAATTGTATACCTGGAATTAAAATTTCTGCATTCTTGAGATGTATTATAGGACATTCTCAGATATATGAAAAGAATGAGGGTTTACTATAAAATAGACTTAACACTAAAGGAATTTCTGAAGGATAAACATCAGGAATGAGGGAAATGTTCAGAAAAAAATTATCTGAAATACAAGAAGCAATGGTTTAAGAAAATAGTAAACATGTATATAAATCTCAACAATGTATAAAATAATCTCTTTTGCAGTTAGTGAAAAGACAGAACTAAAGAACTGGCTAATAATAGCATATATATCAAGGGTAAATGATCACAAAGTGTTCTAATGTACTCTATATTCTCTAAAATATTGTGTTTTTTAAAAACTTAAGTTAAAGATGCACAGTAAAACTTCAAGAATAAGGACCGAAAGAAAGAATAGAATTAGGATGTATACATTTCAACCAAAAGAATAAAAAAATTAAGCAAAAACTAAACCCATCTAATGCCAAATGTATTTTATACATATGCATACACATGCATATACCATACACATATATATGATATACATACACACACATATTTATATGTCTATGTAAAAAGCTGTTTTTACATATATTATACATACATGAAAAAGCTACGTATATGTGGCAGGAATAGAAATTAAAAAGTGAGATGATAAAGCCGGGTGCTGTGGCTCACACCTGTAATTCCAGCACTTTGGGAGGCCGAGGTGGGTGGATCACGAGGGCAGGAGATCAAGACCATCCTGGCTAACACAGTGAAACCCTGTCTCTGCTAAAAACACAAAAAATTAGCTTGTGTGATGGTGGGCGCCTGTAGTCCCAGCTACTTGGGAGGCTGAGGCAGGAGAACTGCGTGAACCCTGGGAGACGGAGCTTGCAGTGAGCTGAAATTGCTGGAGTGCAGCCTGGGTGACAGAGTGAGACTCTATCTCAAAAAAAAAAAAAGCAAAAAAGTGAGATGGTAATAACATTTATAGTCAAAATAAATGCAAGTAGCCTAAACTTATGAGCTAAACACAGATTTTTCAGATTGCTCTTAAAGAGAACTTTCTGCTGGTTAAAAAGACATACTTAAAATAAAAAGGACATGAAAAGGTTTTAATTAAAAATGAAAAAGGATTCACCAGATAAATACTAAAGAAAGTTAAGTCATATTAGTATGAGATAAATAGATTTTAAGGCAAAAGCATTTTCAGGGATACAGAAAGTCACTTTCTAATGGCAAAGAATTCAGATAACTAAGATTTTAAACTTATAGGCATCTAATAAGTTAGTCTTAAAATTTATAAAGCAAAAATATAACTACAAGGAGAAATTGGCAAATTCTCACTCATAGTGGGAGAATTGCATACTGCTCTCAATTAATGATAGAACAAGCAAATAAAACTAGTAAACATACAGTAGACCATTAACATGCTTGATTCTATAACCTTATAGCTCAATAATTTAGAAAATACACTTTACAATCAGGGAATATGTTTGTTTCAAGAATGCGTGGAACTTTTGAATTATTTTTATTTTTATTTTTCCTTTTTTTTTGAGATGGAGTCTTTCTCTGTTGCCCAGGCTGGAGTGCAGTGGTGCAGTCTCAGCTCTGGTTCACGCCGTTCTCCTGCCTCTGCCTCCCCGGTAGCTGGGACTATGGGTGCCTGCCACCACTCCCAGATAATTTTGTTTTTGTATTTTTAGTAGAGACGGGGTTTCACCGTGTTAGCCAGGATGGTCTCGATCTCCTGACCTTGTGATCTGCCCGCCTCGGCCTCCCAAAGTGCTGGGATTACAGGTGTGAGCCACTGCACCTGGCCAACTTTTTGATTTTTAATGTGTGTTACACCATTAAACAAATTCCAACAATATCAGAGAATTGGTGTCATTCTTTCTTTAAGTTACTTTATATCAAACTTAACCTGGTAAAAATTCTAGAAGCCTATGGTAAATGTTCTTAATGGTGAAATGTCAGACATATTTCCATTAAAATCAGGAAAAAGACAAGGATGTTCATTACTGCTGCTTCTATTCAACATTGTATTAGAGATTCTAGCCAAAAAAGATAATCTAAAGATGTAAGGATTGGAAAGAAATAAACTTAGGAGTTCATATGATACTATTCTCTACATAGAAAATCCCAAAGAATTTATGGAAAATTTACTAGAAGTAATAAAGATTTTAACAAGGTAGCTGATTGTAAGATGTACATACAAAAATTGTGATACCTCAACAAAGCTTTTAAAAATTAACACATATCTACATGCCAACAATGTAGAGTTCTAAAGGCTTTTAAAATATATCATGTGCAATGGTAACAACAACAACTATATGTTACATAAGAATAAACAGCAAATGTGGAAGATCTGTATGCAGAAAAGCCATAAAAATTTTTTGGAAGACAGTTCCAAATGACATAATTAGATGGAATATAATATACTGTTTCCTTGGATGGGAAGACTCAGTATTGTAAAGATGTCGGTTATTGCCAGACTGATCTGTAGGTTCAGTGTAATTCCAATAAAATCCTAACAGAATTTGCTGTGGAACTTTACTAATGGATTCTAAATTTTTTATGGAAGGGCAGCAGACCAAGAATAACCACAACAGATCTGAAAACAAGGCGGAAAGGATTTGTTCTACAATATCAAGATTTAATTTTACCTTGTAGTAATTAAAACAGTGTGGTATTGGTGTAGAGTTAAACAAATCAACCAGTAGAATAAAATATAGAGCTCTAAAATAGAAACTTCCATATAAAATGACTTTAAAAGTAACAGAAATGCCATAGAAGATCCCTGGGGAAAAGAAGGTCTATTCAGTTAATGGTGCTAAGGCAATTTGCACATGGAAAAAGTTGAAATTGGATTCCTACCTCACACCATCGAGTAAAATCGTTTCTAGATGGATGAGTTTAAACTTAAATATGAAAGTAAAAAATTTGAAACCTTTAGAAATAGAAATAAAATGTAGGAGAATATCTTCATTATCTCAAGGTAGGGAAACATCTCTTACATAAGAAACAAAAAGTGCTAAGAAATAAAAGATAAATTCACATACCTTAAGATAAAGAGTATCTATTCACCAAAAGATACCTTAAAGAAAAAAGATAAGCTACAAATTGAGAAAAGATAATTTACAACATACATTCAAGAAATGTCAGAAACTGCAAATTAATGAAAAAGTTAACCCAGTGGACAGAAGGTGGGAGTCAGGGAGTATGGCCAGGCATTTTACTGAAGTAGAACTGAGATTTTTTTTTTTATACCTACTATAATGGCAGAAATTAAATCTGACAATGGCAAGAAGTATGAAAACAGACCAGATGTATTAGGCTGTGTACCAGTAGATGTCTTATAAACTGCTAGTGAGAGTGTAAATTGTTATAAATACTCCAGAAAATAATTTGCATTATCGTTTGATGGTGAACATTTTTATGGCTTATGGATCTATGGAACAATTAGGGAAATTCTTACTCTTTTCTTAAGAGACATATCCAAGAAGACAACAATTAGTGCTTTTTATAATCTAGATAGTAATGTATCAATTGACCTGTACTCTACAAAAATAGTAAATATGATACTTGATATTAATAAAAATAGTATTGATAAAATAAACTGATATGTACAAATTTTTAAACGCTAGGGAATGTTCCAGGTTATATGAGATTAAGAGATTTGACAACTAAATGTAACACGATTTTAATGGAATTGTAGATTAAAATATAAGAGTTTTAGAAAGGATATTCTTGGGAAATTGGAAAAAATTGAATATGGACTATATATTAAATGAGATAATATTTTTTCAATGTCAAATTCCTTATGTAAGAGAATGTTCTTAGGGGTATATACTTAAAGAGAATATGCTTAAGTATTTAAGGGTGAAATGTTATGACTTCTATAATGAACTTTCACATAGTTCAGCAAAGGAGAAAAACTATAGAATATATATGTGCAGAGAGGAAGAAAGGTGAAGCTGGTATAGGAAATGTTAACAATTGGTAAAACGTTTTGGGCATTCATTTAATTCTGTCAGCTTTGCTGTAAGATTGAAAATTTTTAAAATTAAAAGTTGGAGAGAAAACTGACAAAATTAATATATATCATTTAAAGATGCATATTTATGTGACAAAAACTATAGAAAGTTTTTAAAAACAAAGTATAAACACACAATTCAGGAGAGTGGTTTACTTTGGGTGAAACATGGAGTTAAGATAGGGAAAGGACCACATAGGTGGTTCAGTGTGTTGACAATGCTCTGATTTGTATCATGGATTCATGAGTGTTTATTTAGTTCTACTGTGCTTTGTGATTTGCATATATGTGACTTTTTTGTATATATCAAACGTTATATTAGAAAAGGAAAAAGAAGAAAGAGATAGAGTTGCATTAACTACTCTATGCAAAGTAAGGCAAAGAAAGTTCATGACATTATTTTTCTGAGGACACATTTTTAAAAGGTTGAAGATGCGGTAGAAGGAGGAAAACACCTGTGTGATTTTGTTTGACCCAGTATATCCCAGATCTATTTGACCAAAGAAACTTACCTTAAAGTTTCATTGAATTAATAGTCTCAAGACTCCTTTTGGAAAGTAATGTTTTAGAAGCACCAACAAGAACCTAAAAAGTTAACTTGTTGATAGAACAAATTTTGTTTCATGGAGATTTCAGTATAAATACTATTTGTCTGTTTGAATTAATGAAAACATTTCAATTTTGATTTTAACAATAGAATTAGCTTCTTACTGACTACCCTTACCCCTTTCCCACCTAGGATTTCTAATTCTGAAAGGAATGCCATTCTTTGTGTAGAACATTTGGTTATAAGAAGTTGTAGTGTTCACGTTTCAATTTTTTCTACAAATGAACTATTTATATGCTGTTTTCAGAGTGAAACCTACAATAACCTAGAGTCATGTTCATCCATTCCTGTCAGTCAGGGCCTATACTAGTACACTGGTGAGAATGGACTAGGTGTTGCTACACCAACAAACCGCTCTAATGTCTTAACAAAACAGAAGTTCTTGCTTAGAGTTGCATGTCCTAGGTGGGCTGGCGAGAGGCTTTGCTCCACATAGTCATTTAGCCGTTCCTACTATTGGAATTTTTACTGTCTTCTAAAGTACCTTGGAACATTTGGCTTCCTTAGTCGGTGCATCAGTTAAGTTAGAGACCAGAGAATTGCCTTGGGAAATTCAACCTGGAAGTGGTGTATGTCACATATATCCACATTGCATTAGCCAGAACTAGCCTTGTGGCTCTGCCTAACCGGAAGGGACTCGGGAAATGAAGGGTAGCAGTCCATTTCTGAGACAAATAGTAATACAAGTGCTGGGCACAGTGGCATATGCCTTGTAATCCCAGCACTTTGGGAGGCTGAGGTGGGTGGATCACGTGAGCTCAGGAGTTCGAGACCAGCTAGACAACATGGCAAAACCCTGTCACTACAAAAAATATTTTTAAAAAATTAGCCAAGCATGGTGGCGTGCACCTGTGGTCCTAGCTACTTGGGAGGCTGAGGTGAGAGGATTGCTTGAGCCCAAGAGGCGGAGGTTGCAATAAGCCAAGATCGCACCTCTGTACTACAGCCCAGGCAACAGAGTGAGACTCTGTCTCAAAATAGCAAACAAAAAACAAATCAAACAAAAAGTAGTAATACTGGGACTAAATTGGAATCCTGGCAATCTTGGCAAAAAGGTAATTTATATAGACATGTTTATGTATTTGCTTGTTTGCTGTTGAAATTTAACTTTGAACTATATCTTAGATGTTGAAAATCACATGTAGACAATTTAACTAATGTCACTTATTTTGTTATGTTCTATCTTGGTTTTTTCCCCTTTGGGTAGAGTTTTTAGATAATTGAGATTTGGTGCTTAAAAATAAATCAAAAATATGCATAAAAATAAATCAACAAAGCAACTAAATGGGGCATTATTTATATAAATTTAATCTATACATTAATGTTTCTCTGTCTCCTTTTATGGCAGCATGAAAATATTCCTTTTGAAGACAAGACTGCATCAGTTAAAGTGGTAAGTTCATGTAATAGTAAGCTAGATGTTACAATGTTGAAACTATATTCTTTGGTTAATTGAACATCCTAAGTGTATTTCAGTGTATTCTTGAGAGTAGATAAGAATATTAGGATAGTGGAGTAAAAGTTTGTGTGAGTTGTTTTATGTAATGGTCTCAAAATTTTATTAGGAAAGAGTAATCTTGCACATGAATTCAAAACCAGTATGCGTTCTGGATTAATGTCTGTAAAAGAATATGTGAATTTTCTGAATTCCCAATCATTAAGAATTCAGTGAGGATCAAGACAAAAATGGCCTTGACCTAATGAAGATTGCAGGTTTTTATAGTTCTCTACATGCAAATACAAGTGGGACAAGCATGGCAGAAAAGAAAAAGAGGGGCAATGGGAATGTACAGAGCAAGGAATTGAAAGTTGTTTTCCTCCCTGCAGAAGTGATATTTTAACTGAGCCTTCAAAAATAAGTAAGAGTTAGGCAGGCTCAGTGGAAGAGTTTGTGAGCATTATGGACAGAAGGAATAGTATGTGCAAAGTCCTAGAGAAAAAGGAGAACATAGAGCATTCCAGGAGCTGACTGAGTACCGAAAGGGAGAGCAAGGGTACAAGTAGCAGGAGACGCAGAAGAGACAGGTGGAGATCCTGAACCTTCTTAGCAATTTATAGTGTTTTAGATTTTATTCTCAAGGCAGTAGAAAGTCTCTGAATACTTAAGCAGGGGTGTGGCAAGATCAGATTTAAGTTTTTAAAAGATTGCTCTGGCTAAAATGTGGACAGAGGTTAGAGGAAGACAGAAGTGGATTCAAGGAGAACTATTGTAAGACTCTTGGCAAATTAAGATAGGAATTGAAGATGTATTGGACAAGGTAGTGTTTTACTTTTAAGTACTCTATAAGAGAATGTTAATGTTTATTCTGAATGGTGGAATTAAGAGTTTCTTCGACTTTGTCTTCTAACATTTCTCTTTTAGGATTTTCTGTGGCATCCTGAAGTTAATGGTTCTATGAAACAGTGTATCAAAGTGTGGACTGAGGTCTGTATTTAAAAATCTTAGGGCTTTTTTTTTTTTTTTTTTTTTTAAGCAACCAAATTTTAAAAGCCTGCAAGCATATATTTCTTCCCTTTACTCACTTGTCCCACTCTCCTATATTTTATACCTGCCTTCTTGATAGCAACTAAGCTGCGCTGCACTGATTCTAGCACTTTATTGAGAAGAGAACGTGTTGATCCAATATCTCTGCCCCATTATCACCGTTCTAACCATAAAGCAGATTATGTTTATACCAGACTTTCCATATTTAAACTCTTCTGTTACTGCTGTAGTTCAGCTGATTCAAACCCAGGTAATCTTCCCAGCACAGTGTATATTCTCTTGTGCATTTTTCTGTTTTCTCCTTCAAACTCATGCCCAGATACTTCAGGAAACTTTTGTTTATTTGTTTTTATAGCCTTTTTTTTTCTTTTTATTATTATATTTGTGACCTAGCAGGCAAGACCAATATGTTTTAGCTCATCATGTTTGGAGATAAATTAGATGTAAAGGTAAGCATACTATTAACCTCAGAAAACTCCTAAGTTCTCACAAGTCCATTTTACAATCTGTGTAGTAGTTTCCATACAGCCTTTTGTCAGTCCTTTAATTAAACCTGTATTCTTTCCCAGAGACATTTGTATTTCAGATGGATAAAACAATATTTAATTTTATTGACTTTGTTTTGTTTAATTAATTGCCCTGCAACAGTTTTTTGGTTTGGGATTTTTTTCTTCACAATAAATATTTAGTATTACAACCACATCATACAATAAATAGGCTTTTGTAGGATCTTGTGGGAACCTAGCTACCATTTCTAACCTTGTTTCTTTGAGCAAATGTTTTCCAAAAAACAAACATGTAGACGGCTTCTGGAATTCAAATTTCTGGGAAATTGAGGTCTACAGTGCGTTTTGGTTTTGTCGATATGTTTTTAAATGTCCCTAAGTGTAGAATACTGTTCCGTGTATATTTGAAATGATTTAAGCGTATGGTTCATATTTGTGCTGGACTGAAAATATATTTATTAAACTAGTAGAAATTCATAATTAAACATTAATACACTACAATTTGTAAATCCTACAAGATCACAGAAAACCTTTATAGGTTATTTACTAACCTGGAGATATATTACATATCCAAAATTTCAATTCTCATACATTTGTTAAAGCTAGTTTTTGGAGCCTTAGATTCTGTTGTAAAACTCATTATGGTTGTTGAGAAAAAGGAAATATTTTATTCAGGTAGATGACCACATGGTCACCTGAGATTGATTAGTTGATGGTTTTCAGTGTGGATGTATGTATTTGCTTTTTACTATTTCCGTAGTAAACTGCTAGATCCTGAGGATTTGGAGACCCACATTTTTGTTGTTAATGTACTATTGCCAGCTTTGTGCTGAGTAATAGTAATGTGGCTGGGAATTAGCTCCAGTCTCAGCCTTCAAGGAATTTGTAATCTAGTAGATGGTGACTTACTGATGAATAACGACAAAAGAAGGCAAAAGCTAACACAGAATTGAGCTCAAAGGATTATGGAAGCACCGTGAATAGAGACACTTAGGACAGGAGGTGATGAGAGTATTGGTAATTATCTAAGAACATTTTATAGAGGAGATAATATTTGAGAACTATGAGTTAGGAAGAAGATGCACTTATTAACTAGAATAGCCTTTTAGAAGCCTATAGGCGTAAAAGCAAAGTTGAATTGAGAGGACTCTAAGTAGATTGTTATTCCACAGATATTTCTATATTCTAGGCACTAAGTTAGACACTGTTGATACGTTGGTTAACATAGAGATCCTCCCCTCAAAGAGCTAGATGAATAACACATACACTTAAGCAATGTGACAAGTGCTAAAATAGGAAATGTAAAGGGCACAACAAACAGGATTACAGAGGATAGACCATAAGTGTAATTTTTTTTAAGTTTTCAAAATTAGTTTTCAGATAAAGTGGTCATGAAGGTGAGTGTGGGGAACGAGAAGTGGGGTTATTTCCTGCAAAGGAAACAGCGTGTGCAATGATGCTGAAGATGGAGTATAGCCTATTCAGGGACTTTCCAGCAGTTTTAGTGGAGCTGACATACAAAATGCTTCTTTATGTGTGTTGGTTTTGGTTGTTCTTTTCATATGCTTCATTTTACAGGGAGTTGACAAGAGATGAGGAAGCAGGTACTACATTATGAATGATATCCTAAGCCATATTGGGGGAGTGGATTTATTTTATCTGTTTTTTAACTACTTCTAAATACTTCAGGGTGTATTTTCTGATAATAAGTACATTGAATTGAATTGAAGTGGAGAACCATTGAAAGTTTTAAACAGGAGACTGATGTGATATAGTGGAAGAGTGGAAGGAAATTAGGCTGACTTGTAAAGAAACTGGCAGTTGAGATGTAATTCTATAAGTGAATGGAAGTCATTAAGTCTGAGCTATTGGATGGATTTTGGGAGTCTTGGTATGGATTGAGGTTATATTTGAAGTTATTTGAATGGAAGAAATTGAATAGGCAGAGAATTTAGAGATTCAAGAGGAGAGGGCTTTTGAGGAATGGAATTATCAAGGAGATTCCGAGAACTGGCAGTAAAAGGAGTAGGAAGAAAACCAAGGGAGGAAGGACTGTAAAATCACATACAGGGGGAGGTAAGCATTTTAAAAGATGGATAGTCACCAGTGTCACCTTCAAAACTTGCTAAGGTGGAATGAAGCTACAGCGTTTGGCAATCCAGGGTTCGTTAATGGGCTCATGGGACAGTTTTAATGGATAGTGAAGCCCAAATTCAAAGCATAAGTTGAGGCATAAGTGAGAGATAAAGAAATTGGCATAGTGAGGGAAGTTATCTTTCAAGTAATCTGTTGGTTACAGGTGTGAGACAGGGTTGAAGGAAAACTTTTTGAGGATAAGGATGATTTAACACTTTTAAGTTGAGGGAAGGAAAGAGAGTGGAGGAGGAGGACAAGATTGATACTATGAGAGTTGGAGGACATAATTCATGAATCATAGCTCCAGAAGTGAAAAGGGAGGGAATGTAGACAGAGGAAGGCATTAGCCATTGAGAAGAATAGAGACATACTTTCTTTACTCTCTTGTCAGGAAGATAGCTGCGGGAGTATAGAGAAGTTGTAAGAATGAAGGAAGGAGGGCAAGAGCACACTTGTTGGATGAATTTTATTTTCTCTACGAAGTTTGAGAATTAAACTTTATGCTGAGAAGGAGGGCATGGAATGTAAGGTTTAGGATAACCAGTGTAAGTTTTGGGAATGAGAAAGGCACCTAGAGATGAGGAAAAAATATTAAAAATTTTGTATTCACTAAAAATTCTTTAACAGTGTAAAATGAAGCATGCTAAACTGGAAATGGTCATATATCTAAAAGAAAATTGATTTATTTTGTTATTTTTCTCTATTTTTGTAGTGTTTTACATGAAGCATGTATTACCTTTATAGTGAAAAAGTAACTGTCATTTTTTACATCAGTCAATTTTTTGTTACTAAATTTCATACTTGTTTTTAATTGTTTCTTGTGTGTATGATTGCAATATCAGGTCTTTGATGATTCAGAAGTCAGAAAGTTCTGACTTACCTGGCAGGCCTCAGCAATATCCTATTAGCCATTCTGAGTCTGTGTCTTTGTTTTATAAGAGATATATAATATCATCTTGCCTGCCCCACAGGGTGGAAGGCAGGAATCTATATTACAATGAGATAAGAGAATGTACTTAGTAAGTTAGTAAGTACTATAAAGTACTATATACTTGTTATGCTATATATAACATATAGTTACTTACAAATATAATTGTACTATAATATACTATTGCTATATATTATACATAGCATACAGTAGTCCCCATTTATCCATGGTTAATATGTTCCAAGACCCCAGCATGTGCTGAAACTATAGATGGTACCAAACCCTATGTGTACAATGTTTTCTCCTATACATACAAATGTATGATGAAGTTTAATGTATAAATTAGGCATAGTAAGAGGTTAACAGCAATAACTAATAATAAAATAGAACAATTATAACAGTATCTCAGCATTACTATTTTTGAGCTTTGGGGTCATTATTGAGTAAAATAGGGGTTACTTTAACACAAAGATTGTGATGCTGTGACAGTTGATCTGACAACTGAGATGGCTACTAAGTGACTAATGGGCAGGTAGCATACAGTGTGATACCCTGGACAAAGGGAGGATTCACATCCCAGGAGGGACAGTGCAGGATAGCATGAGACTTTATCATGTTACTCAGAGTGGCACATAATTTAAAACTTAGGAATTATTTATTTCTGGAAGTTTCTATTTAATGTTTTTGGACTTCAGTTGACCACGGGTAACTGAAACAGTGTACACTGAAACCATGTGTAAGGGAGGGAACTACTCTAATTTGCGTTTGGCGCAGGTTTTTAGGGATCTCTACTTGCGTTTTTCTGCATGTGGTCTTTAATAATTATTGGTTTATTTTGTTAAATACGCATTGGATTTCACTTTCCCAGAAGATTGTTTTGGCACTGACCTTGTATTTTATTTAACACTTATGCTGTGTACCCTTTAGGCTTCCATGATTACCTTTTAATTGACTGACATAATACACTAGTGCTTTACTCTAAGCATTTTACTCTGAGTGCAGAATAATATTAGGTCATGTTAGATTTCAGTGGTGCTTTTTTTTTAAGAACATCAAAGAGTTAACCATCCAAATTTCTGTCATCCTGTATGTATATGTAGCCTTACAAGATTTTAGGCATTGGATATCGGTCTTGCTATAACAATAATAAGCGATAATAATAACAAGGAATTCTAAAAACTTAGAATGAATTTAGAAGGAAGAACTTACATTTTAAGGAAAAAAAATTAAATGATGTTATTTGTATTAATTCCCTGAACTGGATATAATACTATGATAAAGATTTTTCTTCCTTTAGGATTCCATTGCAAAACCACATGTGATTGTAGCAGGAGCTGCCACAGTAAGTTATTATCTATATTCTTAATGATTTTGTTTCACGTTTAAGACCATGCTAAGAAAAAGTTAATTTGTATTCAGAATTCTTGATTGTACCTAAATTTTTAATTCTTACTTCTATTATGATTAGATTGTTGAATTTTAATAAGGTTGGAATGAACTTAGGAAACTTACTGTTAAATATCAGTATTTTTTATATCTAAAATTGTATTCTTCTTGAATGCATTGAAAGTATAGTTTTATAACAGCTTTTTCTAATTGCCTTCATGTATTTCATGAAATAATTTGACCAAATTTTATTCTTATGTTAAATAAAATGAGCAATATCTAAAATAATAACACTTGTTACAATAGGTAAATTATATATTTTAATTGTTTATGATAAATGCTACATTAATGGATAATATATACTTCTTTGTAGTGGTCCATCAAGATTCACAATGGTAGCAGTGAAGCGCTTTCTCAATATAAAATGAACATTACCTCCATAGCACCACTTTTAGAAAAATTGGCAAAGACTAGTGATGTTTATTGGGTCTTACAAGGTAAGGAATGAGTAATGAGAAAACGTCATTTTGTGTGTGTTTTGAAGCATAGGTTTTTATTATCTTCTGTTTCAAGAAGCAGAATTACTGCTTTATGTGAATTAATTTTGAAACAAGATTTGCAAGATTAGAGTACACTTGAGTTATTTGCTCTCCTTTTTCAAATGTAAGGAACAAATTAATAAACATAGGTGAAAAATAAGAAATATCCTCCAAGGAACCTCAGCAGAATGGCTATAGAATGTATAACAAAAAGATAAGTCCTAAAGGCAAATGAGATGTGGTCTCTCTGACTTTTTTTCTTACAAAACGTATTTATTGTGATTGGGAAATATATAGAAAAAATACGATCTATTTCATAATTTTTTTTTTTTTTTTTTTTTGAGACAGCGTCTTGCTCTCTTTCCCAGGTTGGAGTGCAGTGGCATGATCTTGGCTCACTGCAACCTCCGCCTCCCAGGCTCAAGCGATCCTCCCGCCTCAGCCTCCCGAGTAGCTGGGACTACAGGTGTGCACCACCACACCCAGCTAATTTTTTGTATGTTTGGTAGAGACGGGGTTTTGCCGTGTTTCATAACATTAAAGTCATTAGAAGTAAATATACTTCACCCTGCTTCATAATATTAAAGTCGTTAGAAGTAAATATACTTTTTTAGCAAGCAAAGGGTTTCTGAAAAAATAAAAATAATTAAATAAAATACACTTTTGAATTGACAGAATATGTTTAAATTTACACAATCTAGTTTATGCTTGGTAATGAAATTCTTAGTAGACATTAGGATAACTCATTTTAGGAATTTATTGAATGTTATTTAATGCCTAGCACAATATGAAATGTCATGGATATTTTAGCAATTCATGCTTTTTGTCAGGAATTCTTATTATTTCCAAGTTGAATGTCAAAATGAAGGGAATAAGAAAAATGGTAGTGATGATCTGTTCCATAATTCCTATTTTATTCACAGACTCATTGTTAACCTTTCTCATATTAAAATGAGGAAAAATTAAATTTATTTATAGTAAGTGATAAGACAATAGGCAGACCTTGAGCCTCAGTAATATTACCTCCTAATGGTACGAACAAAGTTTACAGAATTAAGCAGTGACAAGAGAAAAAAAAGATGGGCAGCTATTTTTATTTAAGCAATCTTCTATAACTAATTTTAGATTTCTTATTACCCATTATATCCCAGCATCCAAAAATGTTAAACTCTTAAGACATGCTAGAGCATAAAAATATTTCCCCAAATCTGTGTATCTAGAGATGGGACAACAGTTCTTTAAATTTGAGAGGGATATTGCTTGACTCAAAACTTGAATATAAAATGGGAAATCTGTTGCAAACTTTGGGAAGCTTTATGTAAAAATGAATTATTAGGTACCTGATATCATCTATACTTTTAAAAACAACATTTGAAATGTGGAACAGCTAACGTGCATGATCACGATTTTTACCAATAGGGATTTTTAAAATGTGTTTTTAAAAATGTATCTCACATGCAGATCCTGTTTATGAAGATCTATTAAGTGAAAATAGGAAGATGATCACTAATGAGAAGATAGATGCTTACAATGAAGCTGCAGTCAGTATTTTGAATAGTAGCACCAGAAATTCTAAATCAAATGTTAAGATGTTCAGTGTTTCCAAATTAATTGCTCAAGAAACCATCATGGAATCTTTGGATGGCTTACATCTTCCTGAATCAAGCAGAGAAACTGTAAGAAATTTTTACATATATCAGTAGATGGAGACTATAGTATCAATTGCTTTAAGCCATAAGTCATTATAACATGGTTATAAATAATTTATTTTATTGCAGTCCTAGTAACTTGTAGTTATTCTGTATAGATACATCTAGAAATACTTTTGCTTTCTGTCATCTAGCTGAATATGTACATAAGAGTTTTGGTACATTCTAGGAGAGAAAGAAGTTAGGGAAGAAGGGAAATTAAACTTCATTTATTGAGTGCTAATCACTGTTAATATACATTGTCTCCTCAGAAGCATGTATGTTCTCAGCACACTCACGTTTAAAAACTACTACTTCTATGTTCTCCTTACGTTAAACCTTAAGGTTATAAGATTAAGCTTCAATGAAGAATACACTTTTTAATGCTTAAAATAATTTTTATTATTTCCCTATAGCTCTTCTGGCCAGGCGTGGTGGCTCATGCCTGTAATCCCAGCACTTTGGGAGGCTGAGGCAGGTGGATCACTTGAGGTCAGGAGTTCGAGACTAGCCTAACATAGGGAAACCCCATCTCTACTAAAAATACAAAAATTAGCTGGGCGTGGTGGCACATGCTTGTAATCCCAGCTACTCGGGAGGTTGAGGCAGGAGAATTGCTTGAACCGAGGAGGCAGAGGTTGCAGTGAGTCAGGATCCCACTACTGCACTCCAGCCTGGGTGACAGAGAGAGACTCTGTCTCAAGAAAAGAAAAAAGAATTCTTACAACTCTTCTATCCTAAGCATTATTCAAGATACAGAGTACATACTGAACAAATCCAAGTTGACCTATGGAAGGGGATTTAGGTTAAGTATGAAAGAGAACTACATAACTATAAATTTTAACAAACAGTGGAACAAATTAGTTTTTTTCTCATTAAGCAGTGGTTCTTAACCTTTGTGAGAGTTGCATGAGCCCTTTGAGTATCTGATACAAGACACGGGTTTTGTTCTTCTCCTGCAGAATAATGTGTATGTTTGCATATACATATGGTTCTCCATATACATAAAAGGGCTTGATGAACCCCCTAAAAGCTGGTAAAGAACCTTGCAGTGGAATTTGCAGGCTAGTATCTGTAAGAGTGCCAGGCATAAAACCACCTGCAGTCTTAAGGCTAAAAGGATGAGATTTCCTCGAATCTTGCTTATTTTGAATGTTTAGGCTTAAATAACATAATCATCTAGAGTTCCACAGATGCCTAAACTACGAAGTTTTTATAAAACTAGAGTTTGACTGAACCTTCAACTAGACAGACTCTTGACAACTTTCCCAGAATAATTTTATTATAATTAAACCATGTTGAAGGTTCTAAGTTTTATTTAACATTAGATATCTTAAAACTGTAGAATCCTAAATGGCCTATAAACTATAATCCAAATGAAAGACCTATTACAAATATTGCTAGCTAAAAATTACTAATTTTTTAGTGGCAGTTATTTTATGCTTTTTTTTTTTTTTTTTTCACATTTCAGCAGTAGACTTTATCTTAAGTGTCCTGATATCTTTTGTTTTGAAAGTCTTCTAGTTAAAATTCTTTGGTCCTTGATGTCTGTCAGCATTTTTTTAACTAAAGGTCACAACCCATTAACAACCATGAAATTGGTGTTGGGAAAAAAAAAAGAATAGAACAATCTCGGAGTGCATTCCAAGTAGTAAGGATAGGGTCACATTATAAAATGAATTTTGTATTTTGGTTCATAGCCCCAGAAGTTTGAAACACCCTGAACTAGCTGTTACAGATGGAAGGAATACCATTATTTGCATGATTTGGGAAATGGTAGCAAAAGATACAAAAGCATTCTGGTTTCAGTGCTAAAAACTCAGTAGTAGTCACTGGAGAAAATTTAATGTGAAATACATCACTGACAAGATAATAACCAAATAACTTGATTTGTTCACAGAGTGCAATGATTCTTATGAACGTGTACTGCAATAAGATTTTGAAGCCTGTGGATGGGTCCTGTTGTCAACCTCGGCCTCCTCTTACTCTCATACAGAAGCTAGCTGCTTGTTTTTTCACTTTATGTATTATCGGATATTTAATTTTTTACATAATTCATCGTAATGCTCATCGGAAGAATAAGCCATGTACTGATTTGGAAAGTGGAGAGGAAAAGAAAAATATTATCAATACCCCTGTGTCTTCATTAGAAATACTTTTACAGTCTTTCTGCAAACTTGGCCTGATTATGGCATATTTCTACATGTGTGACCGTGCAAATCTGTTCATGAAGGAAAACAAATTTTATACACATTCATCTTTCTTTATTCCAATTATCTACATTTTGGTTTTGGGAGTATTTTACAATGAAAATACTAAAGAGGTAAGAGTCATTTTCTTTTTAACTCATGTTACCCTTTTTATCATTATAAACTCTGTTAAAGAACTAATATCATTTATCGTGACAGAATATACAAACAGGTATATAGATGAAGATGAAGGAATATTGTAGTTACACTTCACTTAGTGGACTCTTAACTGTTGCTTTTTCGGAACAGTTTGGAGAAAGGTCAGAGTCACGTGAAAATGTTGAAAAGTTGAGAAATATGACCTGTGAAAAAGATTTCATGACTTAGTGTTATTTTGCCTGCTTGCTGATGGAGAAAGTTGAAGTACTTCTGATTTTATAATGGTCTTCAAGCATGAGATACTATTATCTTTTATAATATGATTATATTAACAAATACCTATGCACACAGACATTTTATATTTATATATTTATCAGTCAGACATATATACGTACCAATTAGAACTTAATGATGTGGCCACCACTACTCACAGTATTCTGATTTTCCTATTTTAGAATTGCTGTCATTGCTCAAAATATTTGTGTAACGTCTTTACAAGGCATGATTTATTTGAATTACTGAATTCTATTGTAAAACATACCTCTCCTGTGAGGATTATTAATTAGTTATTCATCTTCAGTGAGAATATATTGGGGAAAGTAAACTGTAATGATAGAGCTTTTTTTCCTGTCAATGAAGTGTAGGGGAAGTGTAAGATCCTTTTAACTCTGAAATTCTAAAGAAAATTATAGAATGCCATTTTTAGATTTATAAATACATCTGTCATAGTTTAATTTTAGTACATTTAATTTTAATACATTGTCATTTAATACAAAACCAAGGGGATCAACTTAAATATTCAAAATCTCTTTAGTTTATATTTTTCAGATTCATATTATATTTAAAATAGTTTTACACTATCTTTTAGCAAGAAATAAAATGACAGTTTTTAACTCTTTCTCACCACCATCAAGGTTCTTTTGACAGAAGCATTAGCTTTATGTCCTGTAAGAAGACTTTTAACATACTTATTATATACTGTTAAATAATTTCTTCATGATAAATTTTAAAAGAGATTTTGGTTCCTTTACACAGACCAAAGTATTAAATAGAGAACAAACAGATGAATGGAAAGGCTGGATGCAACTTGTGATTTTGATTTATCACATTTCTGGAGCAAGTACAGTAAGTATTGGAATTTAAGTTCAGAAAGTACAGGAAATGATGTCATTTTAATGTTTCTTTAAGGGCACTAGCTTTTCTGTGTTTTATATTCTCTACCAGTTATAGACCCTTCTTATTTCCCACTTAATCTTTCTGCCTTTCCATTCTCCTAACTCTTTGAGAAAATGTAATTTTAAAAGCAAAATTTTTTTTTTAAAAAGATATGGCAATAATTGATTTGTATTTACTTGGCCTTAATTTTTAATGTAATAGAAATAGCTGATATCTAAGGGTATTATTTTATGCCATCTTATTGAACAGCTAATTTGAAGTTATCAGGAAACTTTGAAGAGGCCAGGTGCAGTGGCTCATGCCTCTAATTCGAGCACTTTGGGAGGCCGAGGCGGGTGGATCACTTGAGGTCAGGAGTTCAAGACCAGCCTAGCCAACATGGTGAGACCCTGTCTCTACTAAAAATACAAAAATTAGCCGGGCATGGTGGTGCATGCCTGTAATCCCAGCTACTCGGGAAGCTGAGGCAGGAGAAACACTTGAACCCAGGGAATGGAGGTTGCAGTGAGCCGTTATTTCGCCACTGTACTCCAGCCTGGGTTGCAGGGCGAGACTCCGTCTCAATAAAAACAAGAAAAAAATAAACTTTGAAGATGATGATTATAAAGGATGTAGAATAGGCAAATTACTACCAGAAGAAATCAAATTTGATTATTATAGTTTATGTTCTATACTTCACTGTCTTTTAGGAAGTGTGACTAGCTGTTTTTACATTTTTAAAGTTTAAAAAACTTACAACTCTCTTGCCTCAGTGTTCAAAGAATCCAAATACAGGCGAACTACCATTGTAGACTATGTAGAGTGTGCCATACTTCCTAAGTGCTAAGTACTATTGTTTCTGTGCTGTGGAGGACCCTTCCTTTGGTCACCTAATTAGTGCCTTTTGTACCTGGAAAAAATATTTTTTTCCTTCTCCATAGGTGTCTTAAAAGACAGGATTATTATAATCTCTGGCCACCTTGGATGTGGCAGGGCTAGAAAAAAATGTGTGCTCTGAATTTTAACACCCCAGCCACATTACAGTTAAAACAAACTTTTGTGGCTGAGCCTAACAGCCACTTTTCACACAAACTTTTATAGTGAAGATGCAAACTTTCCATAAAATATGTTTGAAAATTTTAAGAAATTCATAATTTGGGAACAACTGAACTGTTTTTTATTGTTCTATTTGCTTACAGAAAGCACACATCTATAAACAGTACGTGCATCAATGATAAGTTGAAGTTAGAGAGAGTGTTGCCCAGAAAGGAGTATTTTGAAGATTTAAGCAGCATTAAGAAGATAAATAACATGGTTACTAGTGTTTTTCAGATATCTCTAACAATTGAAGGATGTCTTTCTTCATTGTCTCTTTATTATTTTCAAAAATTATGATTTTATGAATTATTTATTTGAAGTGTAGAAGTCAGAGAAATGAAGTATAAATTTTACTAAAATTATTTGGCTATGATATGTATGTTTGTTGCAATAGGGAAATTCCTGTGATGCTGCAGCTGAAGGGAAGCTAGTGAATTTGAGTCATTATGAAAGAGCCAAGATAGTGTAAATGATCCAAGGCAAGGAGAGATGGAGATAGTAAGACATAGTTTATAAGCCCAGCTAAGAATTTGTAGTATAAATCCAGAGATTCTCTAAGAAGTAAGTAGAGATGAAAATTGAATCCTAAGAATATCTCTGATGTGTGAATAAAGACTGGGTAATGGGAATTTGTTTTAAGAAAATACCACTTAGAGACATAATTAATTGCTGACATATTAAAGGGTGATACTACTGTTAAAAAAAATCAGGTAGAGAGAATTAATGGCAGATTAAGTTCCTCAATTCAGTGATTCAAGAAAGGATTTATATCATAAAAGGATGAAGGCAATTTGGTATTCTATTAAAATCATTTACCAACCTAACATTCTAATATATCTTACACTGCATCCTAATATATTCTAATTTACAATTTTAAAAAATCTCTGTTCTGGAAGGACATACTTTTCACTAACAGATCATTTATAATGATTAATTAACATATCCCTGTTCTTTTGTATAGGATGTTGTGGTTAAAAAATTTGCTTTATCTACATAGGCAAAACATTATTAGTATACGTTATAGCATATTTGGGGACTTGATTCTTGGATATTTGAGGGATGACTCATCTTAAAAACTTTCTAACATGATTATTTTAATTAATATTTTTTATTTTGAATAAAATCTCAAACTTCAGTTGTGTCATGTTTTTACGCTAAAAGATAAGAACTGTTCAAAAATTCTGGAGAATTATGAAAATAATCCTTATAGTCTGACAGATTCTCATTGTTAGTGTAAATATTATTTTAAAGTGTATATATGAAATATAGATTAAATGTGAATTTAATATGAAGAGAATAGTGAGTTTGGTATATATGGTAGATGGATTTTGTGTTCCATTGTTTCGTTTTTTTTTTTTGTTTTTTTTTTTTTTGTCTTTGGAGAGTTTGTAACTTCCATGGAAAGACCTGAATGAAAGGTCATGAGAATATATGGGGAACTAAAGAAAGAGCAGAACCGGAAGTCAAACTAGCTATTAACTGTAATGTAAACTTGAAATTTCATACATATTTTTAATAATAAATTTTTGTTGTAAGTAACATAACAAAATAATAGAGAATTTTGAATATGGATCATACAGTAAATACTGTTGTCTTCGTATTAAATTTATTGGTTATGGTAATGATAATGTGGTCATATAAGAAACCATCCTTTTTTCCTGAGATATACGTGGTGAAATAGTTTAGGAGTGCTGTCACATGGTCTGCAACATACTTTTAAAAGGTCCAGCATACAGCATATAAGTGTCCATTGTACTAGTACAACTTTTCTGTTTATTTAAAATATCTTAAAATGTTGGAATAAATATTACATGAAATTTGCAATAAGGCCAAAATCGGCAAAAACTTGGAAAATTGTTGTTACAGTATTTAATTTTGTTTAAATGGACTATACTTACTGTTTAAATGTAATAACCAACCCAACTTTGTAATCCTAGCCCCAGTCTTTAAGGGAGTTGAAAGCATGTTTTATGGAGAGTGCTTAAAGTAATTAGGAATGACTAACCTAGGTTCGACATCTGTTTTCAAATATTTATAGAGCCATCAGATGTAAAAGTGAGTTAGCTCTGACAGACTCTAGAGCTAGACTTTCCGCTGTGCTAGCCCCATTCACTGCATGTGGCTGTTGAGCACTTTGTAGCTATTCAGGATTCAAATGTGCTGTAAGTGTGAAATATATACCACATTAAATATGATTAATTATGATGAATCAGTAATAGATTTAAAAACTTTATATAAAGAATGAAAATAGCTTATATATTAAAATAATATTTTGAATATATTGGGTTAAATAAAATATATTTATTGAAATTAATTTTACCTGTTTCTTTTAACTTTTAAAATGTAGCCTCATTAGAAAATTGCTTATGGCTCACATTTTATTTTATTTCTGTTGGACAGCGCTGCTCTAGAGGATTGAACTTAGTAGCTTTTACATATAGTTAGGTTTCTACTTTCCATGAAAAGGAACATTATAGCAGTTAGTGACCATGTAAAGGTGGAATGGATTGCGTTGGGAGTTTGTTTTCTGCTGTTAAAAGATGCTTAGACAATCCACGAAGGGGATATTTTAGAGTACATTCAAGAATGAGGTAAGGGCACAGATTTGGATTAGATAAATTCTGAGGTTATTTCAGTACATTTCCTGCCTCCATCCTTGTGATTCTAATATGTTACACCCTTCTTGAAAATTTCTGATGTAATAAGTCATTTAAAAAAAACATGATGAAGGGCAATAAATAAAAACTCTTTGATATGTAGATTGTAGGTGCTGTAGGAACTCAGGAAGGAGAAATGACATTCATCTGATAGCAAAAATTGGAGTTTTGAACCAGACTCTGAAGAAGAGTAGGATTTGAATAAGCAAAACGCTTAGGGGAAGAACATTCCAGGGCAAGAATAAGCAGGTAAATAAAAGAGACTTGACAAAAGAGTACAAGAAGGATCAGTTTAAGAGACAGGGAATCTCTAAGTTTGCTTAGAGAGGAGGCTGTGTAGAAGAACTTACGATCTAAGTTATGTTTGTTTGTTTGTTTTTCCCCAGAAGAAATATCTGTCAAAAAAGAAACAGATGAATTCAAGGTTGTTTGCAAAAGATGCATATATTTCAGGACTTGTAAAATCTATTTAATGTGTCTGCCCAATTACTTTATTTTATCCTACAAAGTATCACTTGGGAAAGGCACATTAACCTGAAATGATCACAAGCAGTGTTAATGCTAGGTAACTGCAGAGATGATCAGACGAGTTCGTAAAATAGAAGCCAAAGAAATTTTACATAGATCTAGTAATTATCCCCAAAAGAATGGCCTTATAATTACAAGGATTGCATGTCACTGAACAAGCCTTTTAAATATCACTTTATTTTTGTTATTTTTTGTGACGGAGTCTTGTTCTGTCACCCAGGTTGGAGTACAGTGGCGTGAACTTGGCTCACTGTAAGCTCCACCTCCCGGATTCAAGCGGTTCTCTTGCCTCAGCCTCTGAGTAGCTGGGATTACAAGTGTGTGCCACTATGCCTGGCTCATTTTTGTATTTTTAATAGAGATGGGATTTCACCATGTTGTCCAGGCTGATCTCAAACTCCTGACCTCCGGTGATCCACCTACCTCAGCCTCCCAAAGTGCTGGGATTACAGGCTTGAGCCACTGCACCCAGCCTTAAAGATCACTTTAGAAAGCAGTGTATGGCCAGGAGCAGTGACTCACGCCTGTAATCTCAGCACTCTGGGAGGCCGAGGCGGGTGGATCACCTGAGGTCAGGAGTTCTGGCCAACATGGCGAAACCCCGTCTCTACTAAAAATACAAAAAGTTAGCTGGATGTAGTGGTGGGCGCCTTTAGTCCCAGCTACTTGGGAGGCTAAGGCAGGAGAATTGCTTGAATCCAAGAGGTGGAGGTTGTGGTGAGCCGAGATCACGCCACTGCAGTCCAGCCTGGATGACAGAGTGAGATTGTCTCAAAAAAAAAAAAAAAAAAAAAAAAAAAGCACTGTACAAATTATGCTGTGGAAATTGTGCTTGTACACATAAAGGGCCAGCAGGTGGTAGATAGGTGGAATGACAGTGTTCTAAGGTTATGAGAATTAGTGCTAGTAAATTAGATAACATTTTTGGTGCCTTCTATCATATGTGGATTCAAATGTGTTGTATTTCATTCAACCTAGAGGTAAAGATGTGATGCTCTTAAATACCATAATAAATGACACTAAGGGACTTGGTAATGATGAAGATAGTGATGTAGGAGTGTAAAACAAAATTGTTTTGTAAAATAAGAGTGGGAGGGAAATAATATTCCTAAATTATGTTTACACTGGGTAAAAGTGCAAATCCATCTTGCATTCAGGATGTATGACAGTTAATAATTATAGCTATCATATATTGAATTTTAATTTGTTTCAAGTTAATGTATAAAGTGCTTCACATTTATTATCTCATTCATCCTTCACAAGAACCCTTCAAGGAAGGAAGGAATAGTCTCATTTTGCAAATCAGAAAACTCAGTCATGTTAGAAAGTAGCAGAATTAGAATTTGAACCTAGGTCTCTCCAATTCCAATTCTATATTTTTGTAATCCTTGCTATAATGATTAACTTATGAGAATCAACGTTGTGATTGAACTGATGCCAAGTGCTAATAATGATTTATTATCTTTGTTAAATGTACTTTTTATGATAATCCAAGGTGTAGTTGATGCCAACATATGTTTTACCTGTTTATCTTTGTCAACAGTTTTTGCCTGTATACATGCACATTCGAGTTCTGGTTGCCGCATACTTATTTCAAACAGGGTATGGTCATTTCTCATACTTCTGGATCAAAGGAGATTTTGGAATCCATAGAGTATGTCAGGTAGGAATGCACTGTTATTTCCTTTTCTTTCAGTTGAACATGCTTTCTTGAGAAATCATTAACTTGAGAAAAAAATATAAATATAGTCGTTATAAGACTATGAATAATTTGAATTTATGAAATAGCACTGTAAAGTTGTATTCTGTCTTCTATGTTTAGTATTTCAAGATAAATAGTGAAAGAAGGAAAATATAATTTAATATATAATAAAAGCACTGGTACACGGGAGACAGCATTGCTGATTCACTTTGGTTTTGTAGAAACAGACAGTTACCTGGAATTAGTATAATGTGCTATGTTTTCTTTCTCTGAGAAGAGGATGAATATTAATTAATTTTCTACCTAGTGCTAAGTAGTTTCTAAACATTATTTCATTTACCCCACATTACAACCTTGAGTTGTTATTCTTATATTTACAGATGAGGAATGTAAGGCTCAGAGAGCTTAAATAATTTGCCCAAGGTCACATAGTAAGTGGTAGAGCACTAATAAAGCTCTGCCCAAATTCTGTGTTTTTTGAATGACATTAAACTGATACCTGAAATGACTGTTATGAAAGTCCCAAAGACACTTATAAATTTGAGTTTTGAGTAATACTATTTGGTATGTATGACAACTCTTAATTTGATCCCAAATGGGGTAAATCAACATTAAACTAGATGAAATGGACAATGCTTTCTTAAGATAATATAATCTGTGCTTCGAAACTATAGCCCTCAGAAGGACTGCTTTTTTCTCCTTTAGCAAGATAGCAATTATAGCCAGAGGACAGCCTAGGTTGGTGCTTTGCTGGGATTTAGTTAATGTAATGATGTATGCATATTTTATATTCAACTCTTTACGGTGATTGTAGAACAAATGTAATTTAAGGGATTAGTAATATGTACTTGTACAGTCATTACTGAGTCTTAGCCATTTATACTGTGTCAGAGAAATTCTGCCTTTGCTGTTTGTGTATACCTAGAATGAAAACCATTACTTAGAATGAAACTATTTTCTTCTCCTTTTCAATAGGTTTTATTTCGTCTCAATTTCCTGGTAGTGGTGTTATGTATAGTAATGGATCGACCTTATCAATTCTATTACTTTGTCCCCTTGGTCACTGTATGGTTCATGGTCATATATGTTACTTTAGCACTATGGCCACAAATAATACAAAAGAAAGCAAACGGTAAATATACTTTCTTACTAATGTTAGTAAATATATTTTTTCAAAGTGTGAAATTTCTTTTTAGTTGCTAAAGGATATTATTTTTATTAAGTGATATAGACAGTTTAAATTTATATGTAGTTTTGACATTTTGAAGTTCTGTTCTTAAACAATATTTCTAAAATGTTACAGCTAAGTAGTTAAAGTAATATTAACAGTGGAGAATAATAGTTTACATTGTATATGTTTTTTCTTTTTTAAATTTAAATTCTTCAAAACCATTTTACATATTAACTAATGCTACAGTTTTTAAACTGTCTTCTTATACAGAGGCAGAGTGGAGAGAGCTGAAAGAGAGAAGGGAAAGCCAAATAAGCCTCCGTGCCCCTATGTCTTGCTTCAATCTTGGCAGCTCTACTTTGATTTCTTATGTATATATTGAGATTTTTGAGTAAATATTTCTTTGCAAAATGCTTCTTATGTCAAACACAATTAAAAGCACTAATATAATTTATTTTCTAGACAAGCGTTAAAGCAGTTATTATCAACCTGTTTTACATATAAGGAATGTAAATACCCCAAAGCTTGTTATTTTCAAATTTCACATGGTTAGTTACTAATAATGTTCAAAGTGAGGCCACAGTCATTTATCTTAATGCTTTTTTCACCCTCAAGATCATATAATTAAAATAAAATCTTCCTTTTTTGGAAAAATAATTTTTTATTTTAAAAAATATATTTAACTTGACTCAACCAAATATTATATGTCAAAAATATTTTTCCATTGGCTTCCACTATAATATCAAATAATTTTTCAGGAATGAGTTGAGGTCTAGCCTCTATTAGAGTCCAATAGTGTCTTTGGACAGCCTTTGTCATTTAATTTCTCTATACAAACCCAGCATATTGATCAAATAAACTATCAATATGTATAAACTTTGAACACGTAATTTTAAATATGCATATGTTACAATACATTTTATATTTAAACTCTAATCCATTAGGGAGTTTAAGCTTTCTCCTTGGAACTTTAATGTTTAAGCAATATCACCTAAGTCATATTCAACAAGAGTGTTTGTTAGAATTATATTGAACATCTTGTTCCAGATGTTGCTGTAACTTTGAATAATGAATAAGTATAATTGAATCTAGGAGGCATTTTGAAATTTATTTCTAATGGATGAACAGCAGGTGTACAGGGTATCAGTTATACTTTATAGCCTCATTCCTAGCAAGAATCCTTTGTTTTTCTTTTTGTCCTACTTGTAATTTATACCAGCTAGGTATATTTTGTGTATTCTTGTAAGCATTCTTATATTCTTTTAAGAACTATTCAGCATGTACATATATCAAATAGAGAGTATTTAATATGTTGTGTAATATAAATTTATTTTTTAGTAAATTAAATATTTTCTCTCTTAGGAAATTGTTTCTGGCATTTTGGCTTACTGTTGAAACTAGGCTTTTTGCTGTTATTCATATGTTTTTTGGCATATTCTCAGGTTTGTACAATTCTTTCAGTTTATATTTTTTAATATTTCATTTTAAAGTTCAAATCTATTAAAGCATGTGAGAAGAGTCAGAGCTTTTTTTTAGCTTCATTTTTTAATGACTGTAATAAAAATGTCACTCTGTAGTTGACTACTCAGTGTAGTTCTTTTGAGATATATATACTTTGTTACCACTGTTTTTGTTGTAAGAGCAATTTAAAGCTCTTCCTTTGGCAGTTGTTCAAGATCCATTTTACTTGACTTTGATCAATCAAACATTTATTGAATGCTTCTTGTAAGACACTAGTCTAAGCAGAGATCAAAATTTTCTTGACAGAATTTGCAGCTAGTTTGTGTATTATTCATTGCATCAGAGTATTACTTGATTTTTCCATAACTACATACGGTAACATTTTAGCAGTTAGTAAAACCAACTTAGGAGCAAAGGGGTTTACGTATATATAGTATGTTTAATTAAATAAAACTTTTGGTCATTTTTTTTAGCTCTAACCTTGTATTTTTCTATTCTGATGGTTGAGATATTCTGTTATTTTAAGAGGATGGCAGTCTGCTACCTGCTGGTTAAATCCATCAGGGAGATGTATTATTTGGGCAGCATGATATTTATAACAACACATTTTAATTTGAATGCCTATAGTTGTGTCATATTCTGCAGTGTACTCACATCTCCAACACTCTGTTTTGTACCTGGCTGTGTCAGGTGGAAGGAAGTGCCCTATAGGCATTTTGTGTGTATGTATAATCCTATGCTGTTTGGGTTTTTTTTTTTTT